TTGATATTTTTCGAAGACCTCCCGTAGTTTTGCTAAACGTGTGTTGTCAGCAAATTTATTCTGTGCGGCTATTTGTGTTGTGAGTGTAGAAATAACGTTCTTACTGTTCACGTTATTTGTATTGTTTTTTTTTATTGCGACTTGGTCGGCGTTGTATATTTTCGTAGTTATAATATTTTTTATAATCATCAAATTTGAATTAAAGTTAATATGAGCCTTATTATTGAATAGAAATCTGTTTCCCAATATGAGCGAACTTATTAAGTTATTTACAACATAGACGTCTACATCAAACTGCTCGTTCTCAATGACGATTTGAATAATAGTTTTTCCTATTAAATCCAAGGGCTTGTTATCTGCTCCGGTTATTAGCATATTTTCAACCTTTTTAATGTTGTATCCTTTAGCTAATTCCGCGTTTAATATATTTAGATTTGCCCCGGTATCTATAGTGACTGTTATTTCTGCTTGGTTTAATGTGGCTATGATGTACAATGCTTTTGCGCTAGAATATTGACTTGTCGATTGTACGTACTCAATTTTATTGCTTCTATTAACTTTATTTATAATATTTTTTGATTGATGAGATTCTATTTTTGATTTTGCTAAGGTTAAAGGTGAACATATGTCCTTAGCATGAGCGTTTAACCTAAAAGCTAGTTTTTTGAGTTGCAATTTTTTGCTGTGTGATTTTGGCTCTGGCATAATTGACACTTTGTGTCATCTGCTTCCTTTTTTCTGGATCTGCAGACATTTGCTTCGTGGCCGTATTTTTCACAAATTTGGCATTGAACTATTAATTTTTTGTTACGGAAACAATTCTCAGTAATGTGGTTAGTCCTGTGGCAAATATCACATTTTCTGTTTTTGCCGGACGTGTTACCATTAAATTTTTTTACTGTATTAGTCCGTGATTTTTGAAAATCTAAAAGTTCTTTGACTTGCCTTTTTAATTGCTCTAGCTCATTTTCTTGTTTTTTATTTGACATGTGTTGGATTTGTTCCTTAAGAATGTCTGTTCTAATTTCTGAACTAGACTTACTTTTATCGCCTTCTATGAGAAATTCTGTAGTCTCCCATTTTCTTATGTTCTTTTTTAGACTGTCCAAGGTGTCGTTTTCCAACATCGAAACCATTCTTAAAATGTCGGGGCGTAATCCCTTCATAATAAGATGTACTTTTTCTTTTTGTGACATGTCTTTATTTATACGTAAGCATAAAGCTTCCGCTTCATTTAAATAAGAGCTTACGGATTCGTCCGGTTGTTGATAGCGTTTTTGTAATATCATTCTTATCATGTCTGTTTGAGCTGTTGGCTCAAATTCTAACCTTATTTTATACTCTAGATCTTCCCACTTGATTTGGCCGACGGTGTTTTCTTCTAGATTTTCATAGAAATGTAAAGCCGTACCTTCTAAGAAAGCTGGTAAAAACTGAACTTTTTCTTCGTCGTTCCATTCATTTATAATGCTGGCCCTCTTGTATCGCTTAAGAAACAGGTCTACACTTTCGTGAACTTCTCCTCTAAACTGACCTGGCTTAAAGAATGGCTTTCTACGGTTCTTGATGTCATTATTAGCCATGTTTTTGGTATGTGGTACTGTAAAAGATTCGTTAAGATCCACAACGAAATCTTCCGGAAGCCACTGACCTTTGATGTACCTAACCAAGCGGTCTCTCTTTTGATCTAGAGTGCCGGCAGTGGTTAGTTTTCTCTTGATTAACTCAGATATGGCTTCGTTAGAATTTAGCTTGTGTGCCCAACCTGTTTTGTAAGATGGACGTTCGTTTTCTTCTGACGATGTTGGATTAAGCTCTATGAGTGATTTTGTGTATTCTTCTTTGGCCATCAAGTGTTGGATAAGTTGGTTTAATAATACTTTTTTTTCTTATACTATAACAACAACCCTAACGTAATATATACGTTACCTTTGTTGGGCGCCACTCTGTCGTAACACAGGAAAGAAAATGATATAAGATAAATGTGTGTAAGTGTGTAACTATGTGTACGAAGATGAATATGAGGAGGTGGTGCCTGCTGTCTAGGTATTCACGTGCGTGTTGTCGTACAGCAGTCACCGTGCTCGGCTGACACTCCGGGTTAGCTGTGGGTGTCGAAAGGCTGTTGTTATAGGAAGGGAGAATAAGAGTAACACCTAGGTATGAGGTGCAGACGAAGTGCAAGACACAAATACTAGGCGTACCAGGTGAGGAAAGATAACAGAGTACGAGGTGCAGACGAAGTGCAAGACACAAGTACTCTGAAATGTCGAAGAAAAGAGTATATAGGTTAGAAAAGGAATAAACAAAGACTTTACTTTAAACAGTAAGCCGGACAGCGACAACCGAGTACTGAGACTGATGAATGACACAAGGCACTGGAGTCGACTGACGCCGATGGTCAGGTCTATTGGGTTTTTATAATAATTACACTTATTGCCGATTTGGCAATAAATATTATTTGTTAATTCATCAGTTTCAGGCAGCGGATGTGCTGTCTGTATTTTATTAAAATAATTCTCACGATTATGAAAACGTGACACCATCACAATAGCGTTTAATTTTAAGAAATTGGTGGATTATGCAAAAATCAAAATTAACTCTTATTTTTTGTTCTATTTCGACTGCCATTTGCACATAGAGGAAAAGCCGTCGAGACAATTTTTTTTTTTAACTTATAGTACTTAACATAAGCTTTAATTTAACATATGTTCATAGGACGTAGTGTTTAGTTTAAACATTTAAAAAATTTGAAAACATTGAGTATTTTGAAAAAGTTGCAACCCCTGGGGGCAAATAAAAGGTTAGATTTTCAAAAAAATTATATCAAATGAAAGTAAAATACCTAATGTGTCTATATAAAAAAAAATTATTTTGGTACATTCGCTTTTCAAAAAGTTAAGGCAGTTTTAAGAGAAAAAAATTTCAACATTTATTGATTTTGAAAATTTTAATTTTTTTTGGAGATTTCCACGATTTACAGGGAACGAGGGAAATTTTTAAAACATTTTAAGGGCAATGACTTCAACTAAGTACGATTTGTGATATTTTGACGTATCGTTGAAGAAATCAGTTTGGTGAAAGCTGAGAAAAAGTATCAACATATACAAAAAAAATATATCATGGTAAAATTAATACCATCTCAGCTTCGTATCGAAGATAAAAATAGTTTCTTATCAATTTCATATTTTGTGAGTATCCCAATATTATCTTTGAAGAATTTTATTACTGAAATAAAATTTAAATTAACTTTTCATCAAAGATTAAATTTGTTTTTTTTTCAGTATTTCATTTATATATTTCTAAATTTTAATTATTAATTTAATTAAGTTATTCTGCTAAAAAAGTTTGATATTGAATAAAAGTTTGATATAAATTGAACTAAACAGTTTTTAGAGGTTAATGATTAGGTATTTTTCTTTTATTTATTGTAATAAATATAAAAAACCCAGCACAGTGGGGTCGTGGCATAGTTGGGTCCAGTATAGATGATTTCTGACAGTGATTAAAATCACTATCATAAAAAATACTTCGATGCAAATCTGTAGATGGTGTTTAATTAAAAAAAAAAAATTTTTTAAAATAGCATATTTTTGAATACGGTAGCCATTTGCGCATAGAAGATAGGTCGTCGGGGCAATTTTTTTTATTTTATAGTACATAAAATAAGCTTTAATTTAATATATGTTTAGAGGACGCAGTATTTCCGGAACATTTTCAAAAATTAAGTTGAAAAAGTTATTTTTTGTAAAAAAGTTACTATTTTAAATCCCCCCAGTGAGCAGAATAAGTGTTAGATTTTCAAAAAAAATTATATCAAATGAAAGGGAAATATCTAAGGTTTCAATACAAAAAAATATTATTTTTATTTGTTCATTTTTGAAAAAGTTATGGCAGTTTTAAGTACAAAAAACATCCCGATAAAAGGTAATTTTTATCGCAAACATTACATTTTTTTTTAAATTTTAACAGCAATTTTCACATAGTAGATAGGTCGTCGGGACAAATTTTTTTTTTTCATTTGATAGTATATAACATAACCTTTGATTTGATATATGTTTAATGGACGCAGTATTTCCGGAACATTTTCAAAAATTAAGTTGAAAAAGTTAGTTTTTGTAAAAAATTTGCTATTTTTAATTCCTCTTGTGAGCAGAATAAGTGTTAGATTTTCAAAAAAAAATGATATCAAACGAAAGGAAATTACCTATAGTTTCAGTATAAAAAAAAATTATGTTGATTTGTTTGTTTTTGAAAAAGTTATAAGAAAAAAAAATGAGAAAAATGGCAAAATTTACCGATTTTTAAATTTGAAATTTTTTTTGGTATATTTCCCCCATTTGCGGGGAACGAGGCAAAATTTTTCAATTTTTAATAGTAATGTCTTCAACTAGATACGATTTGTGATCTTTTGACGTATTATTGAAAGAAATCGGTCCAGTGTGAGCTGAGAAAAAGTGACAACAGACATAAAAAAAAAAAAAAAACACATCATAGTAAAATTAATACCTTCTCAGCTTCGCATCAAAGCAAAAAAAATTGCTTAACCCGCTTTTTGGCTTAGTAACAATCAAGGAGACCGAGAATTTTAATCATTAAATTTTTGTCCCCATGTAAAAAATAGTTTCGGCGCCTCTGTCTGGACCTCTCTCCTTTGAAAATTTCTAAATACAGTACTGCGCTCGTTTCGAATATAGACTGGTTTTAGCAAGTTAACTGCGCCCTCTAATAAGTTAGGTTGTGTTGTTAAAATAATAATAGAGCATGGAGAAAACTTGGATCTTTTCAATGGTTTTATTTTAGTTTCGAGTGGTTTGCTTTATGAAAGTACGCATATTTATCGCTTCATCAAACTAAATAATTTATAGTTTTTGATATTTTGTTTAGATAAACTTCTTGTTCAGATAAACTTTAATTTATGTAATACACTTCTAATATTTTTAGCTCCAGAGTTTTTTCCAAACTTGTGTGCTATTAAAAATTATTTTTTTCTTTAACAGATCAATGGAAATTTGAAAACGAACAGTTTTGGACTTTACCATTCCACTTTGGACAAATAAAATCAATGGATCCTGAATTATATGAAAAATTATCTGAGTCTATTTTGATAATATCTAAAGGAGATCTTAATTATAGAAAATTAGTTGGAGATGTATTTTGGGAGCCTACAGTTCCTTTTAGTCAAGCTGTTGGAAGTTTTAAACCATCTAAATTAATCGCTCTAAGAACACTGAAGTCAGATATTACGTGTGGCTTACCTGAAGGTTTAGCTGAACGTATATCTCAAGCTGACCCAGACTGGTTGAAAATTGGAAAATATGCTGTTATTCACGTTGATGGTGTTTAAACCAATTGGAAGTACAATTAGTAATTAGCTTCGAAGATAATTAAAATTAACTATTTTTTATTTGAAATCTTACTATTTAAGAAGATTATATGACTAAATCTTACATAAATAACTTATTATATTTATAGCTGAAACTTTTCTACGCAATTAAATTTTAAGACATATACATAAATGTTTCAAATTATTCCATTTTTTTTTATTTCACTGTGGGAATTAAATCTGACGAATTTATAACTGTTCTTTTAATGTTACCATTTTTATTATTACTATTATTAATGTTTGTTATTTTACAAAAAAAAAAATTGTTGATCTATTAAATTATTTTTGCATTTTAAAGGAAGATTAATGATAAAGTGTTTGAATGAAAATAATTTTCAAATGATAAAAATTTGTGTATGTCTGTATATTTTATATTATTTCTTAATAATTAATATTTTTTAGAATTATATGCATTTATCAATTTTGTTAGGTTATTTCGAACACATCATCAGCCAGTATAAATATTTATTGAACGTCATGAAAACTTAGTTATGTGTTATTAACATAGTTATAATTTTGTAGGGTTCACTACCCTTAGAACGAAAAATTTCTTCGATACTATTAATCCTATGACAAAGTTTATTCTAAAACTCTAGTCATAAAAATATTTTTTATGGTAGATTTTTTTGCAGTTCATAATACAATACGTTTTATTGTGTTTGTATTATGTAAATATTTTATATTTGCGGTTCGATGCATAAACAAAAAATTGCCAACATTTTAGAGGGGACTAGAATTACTCACTGGTGCCTCTAGCGAAACGACTAAATTTCGTTCCCAGATAGATTCTACCTTTTACGGTGCTGATCTGGTTAGATATAAAAAAAAAGGTGATTAGTAGTGTTTAGTTAAGTAGACGTTAATAATGTCGTAACACAATAAGAGGGAAGGTGTAATGTAATGCGTACGAAGATGAAGATGAGGATATGGTGTCTGCTGTCTAGGTATTCACGTGCGTGTTGTCGTACAGCAGTCACCGTGCTCGGCTGACACTCCGGGTTAGCTGTGGGTGTCGAAAGGCTGTTGTTATAGGAAGGGAATAAGGGTAACACCTAGGTATGAGGTGGAGACGAAGTGCAAGACACAAATACTTTGGGTATAGGAGAGGACAAAGAACAGGGGTAGCCGAGTATGAGGTGCAGACAAAGTGCAAGACACAAATACTGGGCGTACCAGGTGAGAAAAATAACAGAGTACGAGGTGCAGACGAAGTGCAAGACACAAGTACTCTGAAATGTTGTGAAAGAGAGTAGATAGGTTTAAAAAGGAAAATACAAAGACTTTACTTTACTTTAGGCAGTAAGCCGGACAGCAACAACCGAGTACTGAGACTGATGAATGACACAAGGCACTGGAGTCGACTGATCACGATGGTCAGGTCTTTTGGGTTTTTATAATAATTTGAACTATTGCCAATTTGGCAATAAATATTATTTGTTAATTCATCAGTCTCAGGAAGCGGATGTGCTGTCTGTATTTTATTATAATAATTCTCACAATAATGGTAACGTGTGACACCATCACAATAATGTGAAACATTAATATAGACTATACTACAAAGTACACAAGTATTAATAATATCAAGTAAAAAATAGTTTCTTATCAGATGTCTATGTTTAGCATCAGATTCTCGCTGGACTAGCTCGTGTGTTACACAGAGTGACAAACACTAAGATACTTTGACATCAATGTGAAAAAAAAAATCAAGCGATGCTGTCTTCAGACCTTGGATACTTCTTAATGTAAACTATTTTTTGTAGCTATTTTGCTGTAGTTAATGTCATCACTTTTACCGTAATAATAACAAATAAAAATATGAAATTATCCTAAAAATATGCTTAGTACTTCAATATACTTAATAAATAAGCTTTAAAATTGTGAAAAAAATTTTTTTTTATTTTTGAATTTCGGAAAAAATTAACATAGTTTAAATTTATCAATTTGGACACACTGATTTACCTACCTTAAAATGGCTGACTGATTTAATAACCTCTTTATATATTAGTTGTGTACATTTTTATCAGTGTCCATTCTGTATATTCTCATAAAATATTCAAAATTCCCTTTAATAGACCTAGGACACTTCTTAAATAAACAAAAATTGGTAACTATATTGTGTAGGAAATGTTATCATTTTTACTCGTGATAACAAGTAATTTTTTTTTTTTTTAATGAGAAGTTATCTCATAAATCTATTATTAAAAAAAAAACCCAGCACAGTGGTTACGTGGGATAGTTGGGTCAAGTATAATGATATCTGACAGTTATTAAAATCACTATCATAAAAAACGCTTCGATGCAAAACTTTAGATAGTTATTAATTTTAAAAAATTGATGAATTATTACAAAAGCTACATGATCTACTATATCCTTATTTATATCCTGATTAAGATAAAGTATGTCGAATAACAAATGAATATAAATATTATTTCTCATAAAAAAATTGTGTTGATCCATACACTTTTCAATAAGTTATAGCATTATCAAGTTAAAAATATAAAAAAGAATTTTTTTACTAAAATCTTATTTTTTTATTAATTTTGATGTTAGTTTTCATTATGAAAACAAACTAAAGTCTGAAATATTTCTTTTTCATATTAAAGTATATAAGCTTTAATTTAAGATATATATAAAAGTGTCAGACTTTCCGGAATAATTTCAAAAGTTAAGTTGAAAAAGTTGTCATTTTGAATTCCTCCCGTGGGTAAGGGTCAAATTTATAAAAAAATATACCAAATGATAGGTAAAGACATCATACATCTATAAAAATAGATAAATTAAATTGATTGGGTTATTTTTAAAAAAGTTATGGCAGTTTTAAGTAAAAAAATAGAAAAAATGTAAAAAATTAGCGATTTTTAAATTTGTAATTTTTTGGAGATTTCCCCATTTACGGTAAATGAGGAAATTTTTGAGGGTAATGTCTTCGAATAGATATGATTTGTGATCTTTTGACGTATCGTTGAAGAAATTGGTTTGGTGAGAGCTGAGAAAAAATGGTAACAGTTATAAAAAAAAAATAAAAAAAAAAAAACTCATCATACTAAAACCAATATCTTTTCAGCTTCGCATCGAAGCTAAAATATTCTTAACACTTATATATAAATATATATACATTAAATTTGTCAAAAATATATTTTAATTCAATTATTCTTCAATTTTGGTAGAAGTAACAAAACATTTTTTAGCGATTTGGTTACATTGATTTACCTACACTAAAATGGCTTACTGATTTAATTATTGTCTTTTATAAAAATGTAAATTTTTATCAGTGTCCATTGTGTATATTCTATGCTAAAAGTTCTTTTAAGCCTCCCGTTTTCCGCTACTATTCGGAGAAAATTTTTTTTAAATTTATTTTAATATATTACCTCTCTAAGAGTAATGTTTATTTAATAATATATATAATTTAAAAAAATGAGAAGGGTTATGAAAATAGTTAAATTGGTATTATATTTCTAAATGTCGTCTTGTGATGAGATATTTTTTTGGACAATTGTTTTTGTTGAATAAATGTTTTTTTATTCTTATTGGAATAATATCAATAATATATTTGTAACAATGTCTATTATTTTATATTAAGAATGTTAAATAGCAAATAATTTATTTGAAGAGCTATATCTCTGCCTTTTAATGGCAGAGCAGTTCTATAATTGATTACATGTGTTTGTATGAAATAAAATGGCTTTTTGTTCAAGACAACTTTCATTTTGTGAATGATCAATAATGTAGTAGTCATTGTAGTACTACATTACTCTACATGTAGTTATTTTTCTTATCTTGGGTCAATCCAATTTTTTTTGTGATAGGGTTATTTTATAAGAATCTCACTATATATACTAAATTGTATCCAGCATTATATTCTATTTTCGTAAGCCCCTTACGTATTATTCCCTAAAATTATGTTATTTTGATTACATGGACTTTTCTTATATTAATAATGTTTAATATTAGTAAAATTTCTTGAATTGGAAAAGTTCTAAAATTTTCCAACAGACTATCTCAAATCTGGATATATAAACTAATTCCTTAATTTAACATTTTCCATTTTTTTAATGTGACATTTTTTATTCAGATAGATAGCGACTTAAGTTTTGTTATCAGTTTTATTGTTATCAAATCGATTTCCATAATCATATGTTTTTATACAGTCTTTCTCTATATTCACGTTTTTCTTAAAAAAAAATGTTATTTGTTACTTAGTAACCAATTTTGTAATCGTTTAAGATTATTCATTCTCTGATTATTTTAATAACAATAATAATAATAATAATATTATGTAAGTTAAATTTACCTGAGGTCTTTATTTTTATATACTTAAGCCCAGGATAATTATTTGAGGTAATGTAGAAGTGGGTGATATAAATTGAAATGTATCAAACGGCCGCTAATCCAAATCGTTCATTGCTTGTTAAATATGGTGTACCATTGGAGCATTTAGATTTTGAGTATGTGAGTAATTGTAACGACCCTAAAGAGTTGAAACACATTATTCAAATACTTGAGTAAGTTTGAAAATTTATATATAATTTAATAATGTTATTGTAAAAAACTTCTAAAAATTATATGGTCTGAGGAAATTTCAAGTTTTTAAATTGTATTACTTTCTATCACAATGATTAAGAATTAATTTTAATTATAAATTATATGAATTATTTAATATTATTATTATTAACAAAATAATGTTTATTTAAAAAATTTTTTTTAATTTGATACATAAAATTTTATTTTTTTAATTTTAATTGCAATCAAAATAAAAATCAACCATAACAATGGTATATTTTCTTTATTATATATTATATAACTGTTTACTTATCACATCTTGCAATTACTTTTTCTATGTTAATTATATTGATGATAAATCACGCAAGTGAGAAAATCCTATTGAAACTAAATTAAATAACTAATTAAACAAAAAGAGTTTGTATATTTTGTAATAGTATAAATGTATTATACTATAATTTATAACAAACTATGAAATTAATGCCTGTATGTAAACTGATGAATGTAACGCTTTCAAAAATTTACATGTGTAAACTTCTACAAATCTGAAAAGTACAATTTACAAATTCTAACAAAAATGACCTTGCCTACATTTTACTTATGTTAATTCCAACAAAACTCTAAAATTACATTTAACAAACTCAAAAAATGTATACAAATAAGTATGTTTTATTAGTCTTAATTGCATAAAAACTTAACTATATTATCTAAATTTAGTTAAAAAAAAAAGCCCAATTTAAATCAGATTTATACAAAAAACCTAGAATAATATTCAATTGATAATAAAGTTCCAATTAATATACAGTATGATTTATTAAAAATACTTTTCCATATATTTCTATCAAATTATGATTTTTTTTTTATAAAAATTACTGAATACAATGTTTATTTTTAAAAACTATAATTAATATCCACTTTATTATAAGATAAAATTATTTATAAGGGTTCAATGTTGGGGTAACTTTTGAGATTTAAATGAGAACCTAGTATTATTTTTGTACAATTTAATAAAAAATAGACTAAATCAATTTTTGTCTTCTTAATAACCAATTTTGTAATGTTAAATTTTGAGTTTATATAAATTTTTGGTATAGACAAGTAGGGGGTATACAATATAATAGTATTTTTATCCACTCATTATGATAAAAATAAAGTCTTGTTAAGTACTACCTTAATCCACACCTCTTTTAAATTATTAAATGCTAATATCCCTAAAAAATATATAACATAGCTAGTTATTCACCAGTCAACATTTTATTCAGACCATTCTACTTTTGGAGTTAGTGAAGTGCAGTTAGTCAGTTTTGTCGGAGTTAACTGATGTAAAATTTTAGATGGTATCTTTTGTTAGAGTTTACAATTCCTCTGATTAATAGACTTATAAAAATTGTTAGGTTGTATTTATTTTCCTATTATTTATTAATAAAATATGGTTTTGAACATTAATTTTACATACAATTTTATTTGTTAAATAAATTTATGTTATAGATCTGGAGAAGAAGGTCACTATCCAAAATTAATTGCAGCTGCTGAAAATCAGTTACGTAATATAAAACCAGATGCTACCATTTTAAATCGAAAACCTAGTTATGCCTTAAAATCATCAGATCTTTTGAATAGTGGAGTTCAAGATGATGTCATTGATGATATAGCTGTTAGTAATATTTTTTTAGATACCTTAAAAATATAAATATTGAAATATATTTTGATTGGACAATAACACAACAGTTAGTGTTTTTCTAGTTTTGTATTAGAATTCATTTTTATGGTACAAATAAATTAAAATTAGAAAATATATTGTAATAATAATGATTGTATAAATGTTATATATATATTTTTTCCTATATAATATTAAATTTCAATTTATTAATACTTTTGAAAATAATAAGTAAAATATAAATCTAAAACTTATTAATAGTTATGAATGAAATTAAATTAATTATCATTATACTTTTATACATTTATTTTATTACCTATTTCATTTTGCCAAGAAAACAAAACTAATGATAAATTACATTTTTTAGAAATGGATACAAAAATCAAAAGATGAAGAACAAAAATTATCTCAAAATATAAAACCAGTTTCTTTGACTAATGGTCATGATGAAATTCCAGTTAGACGATCAATTAACTTCTGTACAATGTTCAATAGTGAAAAGGTATTATTTATAAATCATAAAAAACTTTATTTTTAATTAAAAAACTTATTGTTTAAAAAAATTCTTTTAAATGTTTATCAATATCAAAATGTAACTTATTTTTAATAATTTTTCTAAAATCATGGTTGGTAAGAATATATTAATGTAATAACATAAAACAGAAACTAAAATTTTTTATTTATAAATTAAGGATCAAATTCTGGACTTTTTTGACTGCTGTTATTATTTATATATTATATATATTATATTTTTTAAAAATATTTGTATATTTTCCACATCGAATATATATTTATAGAATTTTTCATTATGTTTTATTCTTCTATTTTAGGTTGAGCATGAGAGTATTGCGCCTAAAAAATTAAGTGTTAAAAATTGGGATAATTATGATCCAGAAGTTGAGATAATGAAGATGGAAAATAAAGAAAAAATAGATAAGCTACAAAGCTTGAGAAATAAGAAAATTGTGTCTAATGTATTATCATTAGGAGGAAATGATAGATCAGACCTTCAGGATAGAGTCAAATCAATGAAACCCTTGATACAATCCTTATCAAAAGGTAAGATTGGTTTTAAGAAGCTTATAATAATAATATATTTGTTTATATAATTTTATAATATTATACCATAATAAACATCATAGATATTGACATATCTTTCTAGGGAAGAGGTTGTAACTAGAATTTTTATATATTTTTTTTTGTTTGGTGTTAAGTTATAGATTAATTATAATTGATTTCAATTTATTTTTTTTACCAATATGTTATAATACGATACTGTGTTTTTTCAGAGACATACTTTGTTATTAATCTGGATTCAGTTTGTAAGTTCTGAATCATTAGTGGGTATTAGTGAGTTCAGTGATATTAACCTTGGGTGCTAATCTTGTGTATGCATCTTTTTTCGTATAATTTTTAGTATACATACTAAGACTTATAGTCATTTCCCTATGACTATATCAGTTATTTGAATCTTACAAAGTAGACTTGGAAGAGGTAAAATAATTAAAGTGTATTATTTAAATTTTTAGACAGTACTGTTAGCATTCAGCAACAAGCTTTAAGAGAAAAAGAACTTGGCAATGAGTTTTTCTATGCTAATGATTTTGAAGAAGCTATTCGTTATTATAACACTAGTATTGGTATTTATCCAACACCTGAAGCAAGAAATAATAGAGCAATGTCCTGTAAGCAATATCTGTTTATAAATATAAGTGTATATTGATTATTAAGAATACAGTATTTATTTTTAGACATAAAATTAGAACGATATGATCAAGCTCTAAATGATCTTAGAGAAGTTATTCAGAGAGATCCAAAAAATATAAAAGCTCATTTTCGTAGAGGATCATGTTTAAAATCTATTTCAATGTTTTGTTTGGTAAGATATAATAATAAATTATTAAACACCCAATAAATTATAATCATTTTAATTTAATAGGCATTAAGATCTTTTGAAATGACATTAAAATATGACTGTAATAATTTAAAAGCAATACAATTTGTTAAAGAATTAAAAAATTTAATATCCAATATTCCAAAACAAAACTTAATTAGGTAAGTGTATTTTTGTAAAAAATTTAATAGTTAAAATAAAAATAAAATTTGTTGCTAATTATTTTCTGATGATTAAAAATGACACAATTCATTCTAATATAAATAAAATCTGTAATTAAATAAATAATTTGGATTGAAATTAACCTAGAAATATTTCCTAAGGGTTCGAGAAATAACTAGACATTATGATCAAACTGTGTGGGATATAGAAGATCCATTTTTTATATCATATTCAGAACTCAAAGAGTTAAATAAAGAACAAACTGAATATATTTATGAAGCAAATACGATGGGCTGTTTGACAGAATGTATTTGTAATCTTTGTCCTTATCATGAATGGATGCAACGAAGAAAAAAATGGTATCGAAACAAAATTATAAAAAATGAGCAACAGCGTAAACGTTGGCAACTATTAACTCCTGAAGCTGTTGTAACTTTGATGTCTGAATCCAAATCTAAATTACATGATACCAAAGTACCCAAAAGAATGACTGTAACTGAAGTTAATTCAACTGAAATGAATGGTCATATTAGTTCAACTGTAATAAACTATATAATTAATAAAACTTTTCAATTAAATAAATTAAAAATTACTTTTTAGGTAGTAAATCATAATGGACTAATGAATGGTAGTGGTGATAAATCTTCATGCAACCATTGTAAATTAGATGTAATGAAAACAAAACCTGTATCTAGTGTTCATGATTTTCTTTTGAGGTGGAAAACAGCTAATCAAAAGAATAATTTTGATCTTTATAATAAACTATTACGAAGTATAAAACCTAAAAATTTACCAAAAGGTATTTAATTTAAAAAATTTAAAGTAGTGTATCAAAATTATTAAAATAAAATTATATTATAATTTATTATACAATTGAAACTTTTTTTTTTTTTTTTTAGTTATAAGTACAAATTTAGATGAAGAAATTATGTCAAAATTTTTTGAAACATTATGCCAGAAATTTGATCCAGATAGTGAATTAGATTTAATTGCTGAATATGTTATAGCTATGACAAAAGTAGACCGTTTCAATCTAATTGTTAAAATGTTGGATAACAAAGTGAAAGAAAGTAAGAATCGTTTACAGTGCTAATTTTTTTTATTTACTCATATCAAATAATATTAAAAAAACAATTTATTATTATTGTTTTGCTTTTAGGTTTTCGACCTCTCCTAAAACGTGTTCATAATCATACAAAAAACCAAACATTTTTAACATTATTATGATAGTTTTTTTATATTTTTAATAATAGTAGGTAAAAACTATGTTAAAAATATTGATGTAACTTATTTTATCAACTTTTTTTACAGTTATTTTATTATAATGTGTTGTACTCAATATTTATTATAGTAAATGAATGTTTCAAAAAACTCTGATAAATTCCTCGTGTTCTATTCTACTTTAAAAATGTTATTATAATTGTACCTGTTACATATTTTAACAATTTATAAAGTAATATTATATTATGTTAATGTTTAATTTATTTGTTGGTTAACCGATGCTTTATGGACGAATTAGTTAAGTAAATACCATGTGCATTCTTTTTATAATAATACATTTCTTATGGATTGTAAATACAATTATGAGATATTTATAAAACCAAGTATTTTGCAAAATTATTTACAATGATTTTTTTTATATATATATATTGAAAAGAAGACTAATAATAACTAAGTGGCAAAACATTTTCCTACATACTGGGGGAAAAAAATTAAATAATATTAAAATAAATTTAATTGAAAATTAATGTATCAGTGCTCAAAAAAAAAGTCGAGTAATAAAAAATTAAGTTTTTATTTAAATAAATAAAAAATAATAATGTTATTTGTACCCTATTCTTAATTATTATTGACCACAAATTTACTTTAAAAATGTTATAGATTATGAACCCAATGATATTATAAATTTGTTTTATTGGTTTTACATAATAATTGGTTTTACACATGATATATTTAATGTGATAGTTACATTTAATATTTACATAATAAGAGCATACCTTACATTTCATAAAATTATTGAACACTTCTTTTTTTAAGTGCCCATACTTTTTCATCATGTCATGAATTAACCAATAATTTACTTTATATTTTACTGATGAAAATTTTTTAATGAAGTACCTTCGTAACAATTAAAATTAGTTGGTTATATTCATATTTTATTTTATATACTATATAATTGAAAATTGAAAATAACATTTTATTTTCAATATTCTATTTAATTATTTTGTCTAGTAATAGATATAATACAATTAATTCACCAAGCGTAATGTTATGAGAAAATTACTTGGTTTTGGATATTAATGCTGAAATAATTTTTTAGAATAAATAGTTTGTTATATGTGTGGAGTACCATTGATTAAATAATTAATTTATGTAGTGTTCCATTTTAAGAGTTTTGCGGATGCATAGATCATCTATTTTTCGTTTTTAGCCATCTCTTTATATTGCACCCCGATATTTCTATATGGCTTCTTAATATAGTTTCTATAGTATAATTTGTTTTATTCAAACATTGGATATCAGTTCATATACTTCACGTATGAAGTAGTATTTTAATTTAAAAAATAAGTTTTATTAGTTACTTAAAATTTCATGAGGCTCATGTTAGTGCATGTTGTAATTATTTGTTTTTTTGCATAATTATTTCTAATGTTTATATAAGAGTTCATTAGATAACATAGTCAAATAATTTTTGGTTTATTTACTTTTTTTTTTTTACATTACCATAAAGGTTCTTTTTTAATTAAATGGAACTTATTATGAATGGCACATGTTATTTGGTTTTGATGTGGAAGTAAAAGGTTTTATGTCTATAATAAATGTTTAAAACTTAATGTCTTTTTTTAAAAAAAAAGTCCACAATTTGTTATGTTTGTTTATATAAGTTCTAAACCTAAACAATATATTTTTCAGAACTAACTTAAAATAAAATAAAAATCATACATTTTTTTCCGTTGATCATTGATTCTGCCGTACTATATTTTTTAGGTATATTTGTAGCCATAAGTAACAATAATTACAATTTTCTTCATTAAATTAAAGAATAAATTACTGGTTTTATAATTATAAATTTAACATTGATTCTAAAGTAAAAACTTAATGTTAATCTATATTATTATTAAAGTCACGGGGAAATTTTTAATTATTATTGTAAAATCAAATAACTACATTAATAACGTGTCAGGACCGTTGAGTTCGGGGGTCCGTGAAGGTCGCTTTACAATCTATCTATGTAGGTAGACAAATAAACCGATCAAATTTCCTCTTTTTGATGGGCACTTGCCATCTCTATCTCTCTCTAATATAATTTAAATTTGTTTTGACATCCAATTATTATTTTGTAAATATTGCACAACATATTAAGTGTAATAAATTGTCTAATTTGAGGTTAAAATAAATGTGGGTAAAAATAAATAATTGTCTAAATTTTTTGCAATAATTTTTAATATGCATTCAGTATCTGATATCATATTCACGAGGTCATTTTTTAAATTTAAATATTGCGAAAAAATATTTTTTTATATTGACGAAACTTTAATTTAATATTTTAACCATTGGCGCAACCAGAAAATAACAGGGTTGTTAAAAAATAAATTTACAAAACAAAACCTGTTTAAAACATCAGTAAACAGTTTAAAATGTTCTATAAGATCAATGTAAATTATGACATTTTTGGTATTTAAAACACCAAATTACCATTTTTTTTTTTGTTTCTCTTGCGGACAACTTTATAGTTTTAAGAAAATTCGAATTAGCCAAAAAACAAAATTATCTTTTTCCATTAATATTTTATCAACTTTAGTTTTGAAATGGAAACTATAGGCTGAAAAATGAGAATATGACTAATGGTTAATATAACATCTTCTTCGCATCGCCTAAAATCATTATATTAATGAGTTAATAACTTCCGAAATACTTGTAAAACCTGTGTATAAAATATATAGAATCAAAAATTGGCTCAATTAGGGAACGACTAGGGTAGGATAGCTTCCCAAAAAATTATAGATATTTTTATACAAAATATGTTTCTAGGAATGCAGGAAAATAAATATAGCTTAATATATAACTTTTTCTACGGTTTTATTTATTATAATTAAGACTTTTGTAGTTCGAAAATAAACCATATGTAAAACATATAAAAGGTTTTCAATTATTTGAAAATGAATGATACATATATCTTTGAAATATCTAAAAGAAAAACATATTTTAGGTAAAAACTTTTGCCGTACTAGTAAAACGCAATAAATCAACAACGGATAAAGATATTAAGAAATAATTATGCAATTATATAAATTTAATTTTTGAGTATAATTTTATTAACAATTCCTCAATTACATCAGATCAATTTTATATTATTTTCAATAAAATACATTTTGGTAATAAACCAATAGTAATTAGTTAATTCCAAAAAAAATGGTTTTGTGTTATTTACTTATTAGAAAAAAATCATGAAATTTATTTTAAGAAAACTATAAATATTATTAGAAAAAAATCATTCCGCTTTCATAAATTGTTTAAAAAGATAAAAATTATTATGATCTATGTTTGAAATTTTAATTGCATAATGTGTAAGAAAATATTTGAGGTTATTGAGTATAATTTGTGGCTGATAAACGGGTGTTTATTTCATAACATTTTACATTACATAAATCGTTGAGCACAGACATATATTATTTCAATGCTTTTTTGTATATTTACGATTTTCTCTTATTGTTATAATAGCCATAATATTTATAATTGGACATTATTCCTTAACTGTTAAATAAGGACTGTATTGTGTCCATGACCTCCTGGGTAAACGTTTTCTCTCTCTAACTTATATTAACACGCTCTTCAATGTTTTCACTACCAACTCTGTATACTTAACCTGTTTGGCAGCCTAGGTGATAACTGCAGTAGTTGTCCAATCGTCACCAAATCACATTGGCGGCCATACAAGATGTATATTTCGTATAGGTAAGATATTAAAATTCAAACAACATATTTAAAGCTCACGGCAAAAAAAAAAATACTTATACCACTTAGAATTTATTTGTGTTGCCCAATTTTTAAAACTATTAAATTTAATTCATATTTTTTTAGACGTCTTTAATTTACTGTTCACCTTATTTACATTAAAAATTAATTAATTTATGAAATAATCACTGTATAGAAAATATTATTTTAATAAAATAATTTTATTATTTCAACTGCGTGTTTGATTTTATAATTTCAGTTACAATTACACGCCTCAATCTTTTAAAAAACTATTTTAATTATAATTAAATAACAGCGAATTTTAAAGATTATCATCGTAATTTTATTGGAAAATACAATTCGTGTTGAGATATTTGTTTTCACTGTTCTATAAATAACTACCATAATTTCCAATAAAATATAATTAAGTTTATTTAATTGTTAGGGTTAATTTGATTTGAACATAATTTTTCATTAATTGAAATTTTATACTTATACTAATTATGTAAATTTGATTTTAAAATTTCATTTGTTTATATTATATTTTCGTAGATTAGTTATATTTATTTTAAAAATGTATTTTGTTGTTTTAGTCTCAACCTCGGCATGAATATGCAACTAAATAGTTAACAGATTATAGTTCATTAATCTAATTTTTGTTAAATTTATTTTACATCTCGTGAAAATATTACGAAAAAAATTTTTCTCTTTTAAATTATTCCTTATAAAATATGTTATTTTAATAGCAAACAATAACCGTGGGCAATTGATTTTTTATATATTTGTTTTCATTTCTAAATAATTACGTTATTATTATTAATATTCTCAAATTAATTCACTAAATTCTTTATTGTTTTGTACTCGTAAATAATTATTTTGTTATTCTTAAATATATTTAATCAAACTGTCCGCGATAATTTTTTTTAAGGTTTATCCTATACCAAGGCATAGGTTTGCACTTGATTTTTGTCAAATACGTATTGATAGCATTAATAGTATTATTTTTGTTTTCATGTTATTTGATTTATAACGACGGATGATATATATTTTTTAATTAATATGCATATAATTATACAAATAAATTATAATTGTAACTAGAGAAATTTACACAAGAAAGAATATTGATCATAGACAGACATTATGTTGAACGGGGTAGTATTTGATTTTTGGGGGGCTAGAATAATTCTTAAAAATCTGAGCCATAGGAGCATTTTGTCTAACTTAACTAAACCCGCAAAGTCATCCCTGTATGATTTATACTACCATATAAATATGTATATATTATTGCTGAATATTTTACAATTTTAAAATTAAATTAGGATAGAAAAACAATGATTAAACATATTTATAAGCAAAATAAATTACAGTTACTATAACATATGGAGTAATGTTTCAATTCTAGGAGGCTAAACATTTCTTAGATGGTCAAAGTCCCCCTAAGTCTTATAATGTTATAATTAGATAAATAATGGCATTTTTTGTTTTTTTGATATTTAACTTTAAAAAAAGTTATGAGGTAATAAATGATTGAGATTAAGTTGTGTTTAAAACATAACATTCAATAATCTAATTTATGAAAATTAAAGTAAATTACACTAATTTAATAGATATTTTATGCATTCTAAGTTGTTAACACCATAATATCGAATTTTTTTAATAGAATAATTATATAAAATATGGTTATTTAAAAATAAAATTACTTTTAATTGTTTTATTTTTTTTTGTGGACAATAATAATATTATACAAATACTTAATAACAATAGTCGACAGTTTCATTATTTTCAATAAATCTAAATTTTAATTACAGTAGTTTTATTCTGTTTGTAATATTTTCTTATGGTATTTAAAGAAAGTAGCATTAATATATACATTTACTATACGATTAAATAACAAAATAAATTCAAGCTGTGTTTTACCACAAGGACATTTTCTTTTTAACCCGTTAGATGATACATCAACAACATGAACAAGTAGTATATATCATTATCTACTATTTGTGATACATTATAATAATAATTAAACGAGGTTACAAAAATATTGTTTGCCAAATGATTACTTAAAATATTTCATAACTTGTTGATTTTCGCGTTTTGCAAATTGACAAAGTTTTGTGTTGCCAGTTAACATGATTCTCAATTGGATTGAGAATACTTAAACGCTGCATTTGTTTCCACTTTCCGTATAGATTTTATGTAGTTTCTCACTTTAAAAATAAAAAAAATATATATCTATTAATATTTAGTGACAAATAAAATACCATTGAATTAGTAAAATGAAAAATGTAAGAAGTTTTTGTGAATAATTAAGTGAAACAAATAATGTATTCTAATTAAACATGTTTATTTTGAAATAAATAATGTAATAAATGTAAATTACAATACATTAGTTATTGACAAGGTTGGACGTGTTAATGATTTTATTAACTTGTTAAATTTAAGTTGATGAGTTATTAGATAAAGTTAATTGTTACTTTTTTTAATAAATTAGGTTAAAAGTTAAATTGACAAACTTAACGAGTTAATTAATGCAAGTACTTTGTAGGTTTAAAAAATATCATATTCATAGGGAGATAAAATTTTTTAACCCAATTTTTTTTTATGCAATAAAACATGATTTTCAAATAAAAAATATGTGGCATAATTTTATGTTAATTTATTTTCTACAAATTTATTTTTATGTATATTAGTGGAAATGACGTCGCGTAGTCATCTTTATAGCAAAAATGTATAATTCGACAATTTGAGATTTTTGTTTTAGAAATTTTAATTTTTAATGTGACACACATATACATTATTAAAAACAGAAATATCAAAAATATACTTTTATTTGTCATTAAATGATCAAAAATGAAATTTCATTAACGTAAAATCTGTACATCACTGTAAAACTAAAAAGTTTAACTTAACTTTAAATTATTAACTTGTTTATGTCCTGTAATAAAATATAAATGATAAGTGTTATTAAAAAATTATGCACAAAACTATTATTAAATTATGTTCTAATCGATTCTGACTTTTAAAATATTGTTTTAGTTTTGTTCTTAAGTAGGATTTCAATATTGATCTTATTATATTTAAAAAATATATAATAAATATAAATAAACATGATTATTAATATTTTTAATATTTTTAATGAAGGAGTCAATTTACGGTTTTCAAAATGAGGTCACCGATGTTAATATTTTTTGTGCTAATTGCTGCTGTTCTATCGCAAGAAGAAGCCGATAAATTTAGGCTACCTAATAATATGAAACCACTAAGTTATCGACTCGATATCATCACTCACTTAAATGAAGGTAATTTCAGATTTGAAGGTGCAGTCGAAATAAAGGTATATTTAATTAAAATTGAAAATATCAGAAAAGTTATTGTTTAAAATATTTTAGATTACTTGCATAGAATCTACTAATACAATAATACTACATTCTGCCAATCTTACAATAGACAACACAGGAGTAGTGATTACAAATGGAGGTGACAAAGCGTATCAAGTTAATAGCGTGACTTTGGACCCAAGCAAAGAGTTTATGTATGTGCAATCTTCCGAAAAATTCAAGGCTGGAGACGATTATATACTCACTATACCATTTTCAGGCAACCTTACTGATAGTTTAGTGGGCTACTACAAAAGTAGTTATGTGGATAGAGAGACTAACAAGACTAAGTAGATAAAATATTAAATTACAATTTATTTTATAATTTATTAACCATCGTTTTTACAGATGGATTGCTGTTACACAATTTGAGCCAGCGGACGCAAGGAGAGCTTTCCCGTGTTTCGATGAACCTGCACTAAAGGCAACTTTTAAGATAAGATTAGGACATCACAAAGATTTTTCATCGGCTAGCAATATGCCCCTCAAAGAATCTACGGCTTTGTAAGCAATTTAATAATTCGTATTGTATTAAATACAAATAAATTTATATTTATACATTTATTATATACTTTAAAATAGTCTTTCATATCCGGATTATGTGTTGGATGAATTTGAAGACTCTGTACCAATGTCTACATACTTAGTTGCCTATATGGTCACAGATTTTATCTACATTGATGGAGTAAGCGACGAGGGAGATTCAGTTAAATTCAGAATTGTTGCAAGAAAAGACGCAGCTGATCAAACCGATCTTGCCAAAACTGCTGGACCTTTAGTTCTAAAATATTATGAAGAATATTTTGATGAAAAGTTTCCACTGGCTAAACAAGACATGGTGGCTATACCTGATTTTAATGCTGGAGCTATGGAAAATTGGGGCCTTATTACTTATCGGTATGTACTTACTAGAACATTTTAATTGCACTACTAATCTACACTATTGGTAAGACACTCATTTTCTCAGAATTTTAAGTTTTTGTAAAGAGAAATAATATTAGGTTCAAAAAACTCCATAATAATATAGAGTTAAATAATTTTTCTACCATCCCATCAGGGGAAAAATGCTTAACTACGAATTTCTTAAATGTGAATCCTTAATTTTAACTTGATAATATGAGAGAAAAAAATTACAAATAATTTTGTTCTTTCAATTTCTTTTATCTGATCAACTATTTATCATTTTAAATCATAATGTGGATATATAATGAAGTTGGGTTTAGCTTATACTTATATACGCATACTCCACCCACGTTCCATACCCGCCTTATGCTTGTAACTCAATAAATATATTTTTGTATTTTTTTTAACAAATTTGTTATCGTCCCATCAAAATATTTTGTAAGAAAGAGGTTAAAAATGGCAAATATATAAAAGTAAAAAATAATTTTACGTTAAGTTTTATACAGATAATAATAATATTGATAATTTTTTAATTTTAATAATTAAGGTATAAAAATGTCAGTAACTTTTAAAATAATCTTTTCATTGTTATTATTGATCAATAATTTTCTTAAATAGAACATTATAAAAAAAACATATACCTATTAAAAACAAAAAATCTTTTTTTGACTAATTAGGTTGTGATACTTTTTTAAAATTAGGTCTTGTTTATGAATCCAGTGGGATAATAATGAAAAAGTGAATTATTACACGGTTACCTTAATAAATATGTTTTGTAGTGGTAACTCTCTGGAACACTAAAGTCGTTAATTATTATTTTTTAGGGAGACAGCTCTTTTACTAAATCCAAAATTAGCAACTATCGGTAATGTACACCGTGTGGCTTCGGTTGTCGCCCATGAACTTGCACATCAATGGTTTGGAAACTTAGTTACAATGAAGTGGTGGACTGATTTATGGTTGAATGAGGGATTTGCAACATACGTAGCAGCACGAGGAGTAGATTATGTAAATTAAGAAAAAACAATCAAATTGAAATATCCTACATAGTTTTAATTTTTTTTTTATAGTTGTACCCAGAATGGAATTGTTTCCAAGTAGAAACAGCTGAAAATTTCTTAGAAGTGTTAGATCGTGATTCATTAAATTCGTCGCATCCAGTATCAGTCCCAATAGGGCATCCAGATGAAATTTCCCAAATTTTTGATGCCATATCGTACCAAAAAGGTTCCTTCTTGTTACATATGATGAATACGTTTCTAGGAGAGGAGTCATTCAAAACAGGTATTCGAAATTACATCAACAAAAACAAATATTCGAATGCAGAACAAGATGATTTATGGAACTCGATGACTGAAGTAGCACATGCAGATGGTAGTTTGCCAAATAATATTACAGTAAAAAAAATAATGGATACGTGGACACTTCAAACAGGATATCCTGTCTTAAGAGTTGTTCGAGATTACAACTCAAACGCAGCTATCTTATCACAAGTAAAAAGAGGTTCTTAGTTTTAAAGTTGTAATGATAATTATGAATTTTTATATAATAATTATAGGAAAGATTTTTATCATCAAAATCAAGTGAAAACCAAAAAAGTTGTTGGTGGATACCTTTGACTTTGACCACTTCTTCTAACCCTGACTTTTCTCAGACGAAGGCGAATTCGTGGTTGAACTGTAACGAAAAAACACAGTCTATATCTTTGGCTAAAGAAGATAAATGGGTTATATTCAACTTGCAAATGGCGGGTTAGTATTTTTTTATGAATGAAGGATATTTGATTTTTTTTTTAAGGGTTCATATGGAGGCTTTTGAAAAACAATGAATACAATACAAGTGAAAGAATATAAATATATTTATGAAATAATTTCATGGTTTAGGTTTGTATAGAGTAGCATACGATATAAGAAATTGGATGGAAATAATAGCTACTTTAAATGATCCCCAAGATTTCCAAAAGATTCATGTATTAAACAGAGTACAGTTAATTGACGATGCATTAAGTTTTTGTAAAAAAGGTGAATTGGATTATGGAGTTACTTTTCAACTTTTAAAATATTTGAGACATGAAACTGAGTATCTACCGTGGATGGCAGCATTAAATGGACTTGCTCCAATCAACAAATTAATGAGAAGAACGCCTAATCAAGGAATTTATCAAGTTAGTTAAAATTATACTTGAAACTAATTTTGTATATTCACTGTTGTAATTAGTACTTCAGAGTAAATTTGAAATCTGAAATGTAGCTTATTTAGTTTAATATTAGTATTTATTTTATTTTAGCTTCGATGCGAAGCTGAGAAGGTATTGGTTTTATTATGATGTGTT